GCAGCCCCCTCTCCGCCGGGAGGCACCTGCGCCCGGTGCGTCCTCCGCCCCAGCCCCTCCGACTTCGCGGGCTCCGGGATGACTTCCCTCTGCGGGGTGAGCCTGGAGAGTCCCTTAGCGGCCGCCGGGCCGCCAGCCCCGGCCAAGGGGAGTCGGGAGGCCCTGACCTTCATTTACCGGGACCCCGTTTACCGTGGGGAGTCCGGGGGTGAGGGCAGAGGCTGTGACACCTGGGTTTGGGCTACCAACCTCACCTGGATGAATGAATGCACCGAAACCCGATGGTTCCCAGAGCGCCGTGCCCACCTCCTTCAGGATCGCTCCCAAGGCACTGGCCCCGGACCTCCCAAAGGCCCCTTTCCCGGGAGGCCCAACCCCACCTCCCACGGACAGCCGAAGCCCCTTCGAGTTGCCCGCATGAAACGGGGGCGACTCCCCTGTGCATTCCCGCGTCTCTCTCCTCCGTCCCTCTTTCTCTCCCTCCCTCGTTTCTTTCCGTGCTCGAAGCCCTGTTCTTGGCCACGTCTGTATTTTTTCTGCTTGTCACCGAATCCAAGTCCAAATCGACCCGCTCAAATGGATCCAGTGGTTCTGTGAAAACCGGCCAGTGGCGGAAGCGGGATTCCTGCCGCCAGGCCCTTCCCGGGGAGCCGGGCTCCTCGCCACTTCCACCCGTTTTCTTGGACGCCTGATTTTTGTTGGCTGTGGCGGGTTTTTATATTTTCATCTTAGCAGGTTTCTGTCCTATTCTTAGTATCTCCTGTACATTTTTATTCCGGTTTAGTGTGCAGATGCACGATCTCTTCCCTGTTAGAAATGTTACACCATAAGCCGGGGAAATAGAATGACATGGAAACGGCAGTTCCCTGAGCACAGGCTGCACAGGCCGGGAGCGCGGCGAGAACGGGAGCCGCTCGGGTTGCACGGAGCTCGGCACCCGTGTGGCAGTTTCTGGTGGGATTCTCACAGGACTGACTATTATTTTCGAGTTGATGATGGGTGACATCACAGGCACTGAGCACCCAACAGGACCTGTCAGTTTTGTTATAGGTGGTGTTGATTACCTTTCCCTCTGCAAGGAACTTGGTAGTATTTACAAATTTGGTAGTGAAGAAAGACAAGTCTGAACTGGGTTTATTTTTGTAGCATTGCAGGTCATCTGCAAGAGCTGGCCGGCCTAGTTCTCCCCACCCCATTAAATGATGGGAGGGCAGAAAGTGCTAGGGTGAGTTGATACTTAGCATCATTTTGTAGTTCACGCTCAAGTGTAAAAAGCCCATCTGAATTTGTTCTTAAGGTTACTTTCCACTGGTCTACTGAATTTCACTTTTCATTATGTTATAGCAGGACAGCATTCACTGTTCATAAACCGTTACTTTGTGAAAGCTTTGCATACCACACACAGCCTCTCTGTTAGGATGAACCCTGTCTCCCAAAGACCCAGTGCTTCCTGGCATTGAAAGCTGATAGTGTGACATTCTTTTGTTTATCCCATTCCTGACAGCAAAGAGTTAAGGATGAATGAGTCATCTTTATTAAAAAAATAAAGCAGAAGGTTACCTGAGCAATATTTATAATATTTATAATATTTTGTGTTTGTGTTGTTTTTTTCTTGTGGGGCCCCATCTTTCCAATATTGATTTTTGCATCCCTTGGGAATGGTTGTTGCTACCTTCTTCCTGATGGTGAGAGGATTTGGGGAGAAAGGAGCCTTAGCAATGGCCTGCTGTGCATCTCTCCATCATGCCTGGCTTGCATGCTTCCGGGCCCAAGCAAGGCATGTGAGGGTTGGGTACCCTGGATGTGTACCCATGTTTGGCTTTCTGTCTTGTCCTAGCTTTCTTCTGAGCCATCAGGACCCTGTTGCAAACTGCTTCTAACTCAGATCAAAGGCTTGCTTTATAATCGAGTGTTTTGGGAATTTGGAGGCATTTTTCCCTAGTGATGTGGGCTGGCTCCAGAAACCTAGCTAGCTCACAGTGTCAGTAACTGCAGTGCCATTTGGCTGAGTCTTGTAGTTCAGGGATCAAGAGCTCGGTGGTCTGAGACTTTAGGGACTAAATACACAAATTATAGGCCACATGTGTCTTAGGTGTTTTCACTCTCTCTCTTTTAATATCCACTCTTCTCTCCACAAGTGTTTTCCCATGGTTCTCCTCCTAGCCTTAGGGCCCAGCCTTGCCTCAGCATTTCCCACTACCTTCCCAGCCAATGAATTTCCCCTTTAGAGAATCCAAGCATGACCAACTCTTTAGGAGAAAGCAATTGGAACTAATTCATACTAGCATGGAAGTACTGATAGCTTCAACCTCCCCACATACATTTGTATTCCCCTCCCCGCCTTAAATAATAATACAGTCCTTCATTAATACAACCTTATGCTTACTGTTGCCTGGCCCAGATTACAAATATGTGAAATTGGAGCGAGATTAGAAATCTGAATGTGGAGGCCAACTGCCTGCGGCCTGCCTTGGCTTCTCTAGGCTGTACTGCCTTTTTTCCTACTTTGGAAGCACAGCTTCCTGAAAACAGAAATTCTCATGACACCTTTCAAGTGTACATGCAGCCAACATGGGAGCAGAAATAGAGGCACCTGTGTGCAGGCCATTTATGAGCTGGGTCTTTGTAGGTAATTAAGCTCCATGTCCCTTTGAGGAGTAGAAAGTTTTCCATTCATGGTGTTGGCTATGTTTTTAGAGAGGAAAACTAGTAGGAAATAAACAAGGTTGGATAGAAATGGGGAAGTTCCTCCCATCAGGGACAGTCTTCCCAGTGCATTTACTGCAGTTATTTATTTATTAAAATATATTTTATTGATTATTTACAGAGAGGAAGGGAGAGGGATAGAGAGAAACATCGATGAGAGAGAGAGAGAAAGAGAGAGATACATAGAGAGAAACACCGATTAGCTGTCTCCTGCACACCCCCTATTGGGGATGTGCCCTCAACCAAGGTACATGCCCTTGACCAGAATCGAACCTGGGACCCTTCAGTCCGCAGGCCAACGCTCTATCCACTGAGCCAAACTGGTTAGGGCTTACTGCAGCTTTTTAATTTAAAAAATCTCATGGGGGAGTTACACACAGGATCAGATCAGGGGAAGAACCACCATCCTACTGTTCAGAGGATGTGCCTCCCCTTAGCAGGGCATTCTAGCCTATGTGGGCTGTGATCCCAAACCCCTTCATGGCTGTGCTGGCCCCCTGAGGGGTGCGGCATGTAGATTGGTCTACATGGTCAATCATATTGTTGGGAACTGCTGACTTTGGAAGGAAAAATGCCATGTGGCAGGATAGAAAACGCCGATCATTGTGTTTCTCTTAGAACATTAAATCTACTTGCTTTTACCTCTAGTAGATAAATCTTTTGAGATGGTTGCTGTCAAAATACTCAGCAAATTAACTGCTTATTTGAGTCATTACTTAAATATTACAGCTTCCCTTCTGAAAATCAATTTTCCAAGATGAAAGGAAGATTTTTATATCATTTGGGAAAAGGGAAATAAATTATTGGGAGTGTGTGGGGCATGTTCTTTCTAGGTTGTGGCTTTAACTGGACAAAGGGTGATTATATTTGAACATGAGAATAGGGTGTTTTTGGCAGCTGGAGAGGATGCAGACAAAGGGCCAGAAAGAAGTAGACAAGGAGATTTTACTTTGAAATCCCTTGTTCCTAGGGTAGAATTTCGTAAGAGGTTTTTCTGTTTTCCATCCAAGTTCATTCATTTGTTAAGGAAGGTTTGGGGAGGTACTTACTGTGAGATGATGGAGATTGTGTTTAAACGTACCTTTACCAATCTTATTTATCTTTTGATCTGATGTAAGTCCACAGGTTTCAATTATTTCAAAATCTCTGAGCTATAAACTGGGCTCACTGAGCAACCTGTCAATATTTCCTCTTGTTTTGTTCAGAACTTGTTCAGGGTGCTTGAGTCTTGGAGGTAAATGGAACTGAGATGTTTTAACAGGGTCTTCGCTATAATTTTTAACAGGACATAGTTTTTTGTGTTATTTTTTTTGACAACTGGTGGCTTAGTGTGGTACCCACTCACTAAGTCTAGTAAGATGATGCCTTTTACAGGATGCATACGTGTGACATGTCGCACACTGTACACTATTTACAAACAGTGCCTAAGCTTTGACTATCAATTTCTTAATCTTTTGGAGCTTGGTGACGAGGCTGCCCTGCCTGTGAGAGCTATGTGAGCGGCTGTCTAGCCAGAGATGGTGCCATAAGCTCCTTTTATGTCGAATGCTTGACTGAGAATTTGGTTTTCTTTGTAACCAAGATGTGCCATATATGATCTGTTTGCAAAGGAGAAGAAAAAAAATGTAAATTGGGATCATACTGAAGGTGTTTCAGTCTCCCACCCAAGGCAGTTGACGCTTGGGCATCGCCTGGAGCCACGACTTTCTGTTGTCAAGGACTGTCAATGTTGATAGCCTAGGAGACAAAAAGCAAACCTTTCTTACACACGACCTATCTGGAAAGCTACCTCCAGCTATAGCAGATTTACTGCACTTTAATATTCTAAGAATTTTTCGACATATGGTTGATACAAAGGGATAGATACTATAAAGCAGAAAGAGAGAAGAAAAATGGCATATAATTTCGGTCTGGCGGCTCTGGGTGGTGGCGGTTAAAGAGAAATGGCCCTTCTCCTGTGAATCGTCATTGAGGGCGCAACGTGAGCATTGTATCCCATGACTTACGGCTTTGGGCAAAACCCCGCGCACCAGTTGGGGCTGTGCAGGTGGATCAATGCAGATCAATGCCCACAGCTGAGGAGCCTGAATGGCTCACTAAATGTGGGCTATTGGTGTTGTTTTCCTACCCAAAGGGAGCTGTTAGAGGGAGCAGCACCTGTGTGAGCCAAGCTAGTTAACCCAAGGGCTGGGGGATAGCTGGTTCATCAGCAGGTTAGAGCGTGGTGGGGTCTGCAGGGCCCTGGTAAAGAAGACAGCTGCTGTTACTCTGCAGCAACGCAGGCCGGACATTGCCAGAGCCTCTGGTCTTCTCCAGGGGTGCCGGAAAGCCCGACTTCCAGGCGAACTCTCCTAATTGTAGAACCACATCGTGGCCCCAGAGCCCTCTGTTTGGAGCTTGGTGAGGAGGCTGCCCTGCCTGTGAGAGCTATGTGAGCAGCTGTCTAGCCAGAGATGGTGTCATAGCTCCTTTTATGCTGAATGCTTGACTGAGAATTTGGTTTTCTTTGCAACCAAGACAAGGTAGTGTATAAGAAAGTGTAGCTCTGGCTGTGGGTTTCTTAATAAGGAAACACCTAACTTCCTTTTTGCCTTCTTCTGTCAGGCTTACTAGAAAGCAGCACCCGCCTGAAACCTCACGAAGCCCAGAACTACAGGAAGAAGGCCCTGTGGGTCTCCTGGTTCTCCATCGTTGTGACACTGGCCCTGGCCGTGGCTGCCTTCAGTGAGTAGCGGGAGCCTTGCCCATCGGTGATGGGCCCGGGCTGCCTGTCTCATTCTCTGACTCCTGTGGGTGTGCTTTTGCTTCTAGTTGACTGTTATTGATGAGGAAATTTTGGGGGGATGATTGGATAGTCAGGGTGCTTATAAATTAGAAAAATGGCCTCTCTCCTCCGAGGAGGGAAGACGCGGTGAAGAAGAAATGGCGGCTTTCTCTCTCCCATTGTAGGCTTGTAGAAGTCGATCCCAGCTGCCAGCCGGACAGGGAACTAGTATTCTCCTGGTGACTGCCTGCAGCTTGGGCTGATGGGACAAGTGTGTATCCTTGAGATTCATATTTTGCGCTAATGCAATCCGATGAGTGCAAATTGCAGTACATCTTCTCCTTTCTCCCTAGTTATATATGTGTAAGGTTTGGGATAAAATCATGGGCACATATTTTTATGAAAGAAAAACGGGAGGGTCCTCTTTCAAGCTTTCAGTGGCCACAGAAACAAAAACATTGATTACAGTCAAGAAACACGAAGACAACTGCACACTCTCCACCTCTGGATAGTCCTGTCTGGCAGGTTAGGAAGCCTCTGATATGCTTCTCAGCTGACGTTTGCAGCCTATGGAAATGTGCACGTGCTACTTATTCTTATTGATCAGGCAATGATCCACAAGCGTAAGCTGTGACATTCAGCTTCAGCTCAACCCTGGTAGAAACCAGTGTTTTTTTAGTGCTGGGGGGGGGGGGGGGAGGGGGGGGAGGAATGTATTTTGTGATTAGTTCATTGCCTTATTAGAAAGATCTATATTCTGAGTGATAAGTATACAAAGTGAATCATGTGACAGCCCTCAGAGTAGGAGAGAAAAGGACCGTGTCCTCTGGAAGATAGGGCTCTGTGTTGTTTAAAATTCTATTTTGCACAGTTAGACCTGCTGCTGGAAGTTGGTGTTGGCTCCCTAGAGGGCATATTAGAATTTGACCAAATGCTCCCGGCAAAACTAGACATATATTACTTGAAGCAATTTATATTAGAAACATTGTAGGTGCCATATCTTGGCTCTCAATAAAAGCCAAACATTTAGAAGCAGCAGGTAATGCATTTCAGGGTATAAACATTTAGCTGTGAGCCAGAAATCTAATCAAGAGGAATTATAATTCCTGAAAATAGCTGCTTCTTCCTCTCCTCCCTTTTTCCTGCCAGGTGTTGACCCATATTTTTTTTGTAAAGGGACAAGAATAACAAGCCCGATTGAGGTCCCTAGAGGATAATTTGGTTGTGGTGGCTGTTGGCAGGCTCCATCAGACGCCATAATTTACATATGTAAGGAAAGAGGGATGGAATGAAGGGAGGTGGTTTGCAAACAGAATAACTGTCATTCAGATGTGTCCCTGTGCCTAATAGAGCTGTTACCATTTTATGGTGTGGGTGTTTGAATGGGGACCTGAATGTGAAGAAATAATGAGTAAGTCCTTCCTTTGGCAGAATACTACATTTGATGTACTTAATCTCATAATAGGGAAAAATTGTGAGGAAATTTTGGTTCCACATGTTATGCCTGGTCAGTTGGGTTATCTTGAAAATTTTGTTCCATATCCTTTAATTAGGAAAAGACTATTGCATAATACATATGGAATTAGAATGTTGTTTTGTAAAAGGATTTTTTTTCTTTTTAAAATGATTTTACCTCTTTGTTATAGCAAGTATTGTTGACAAGAACATCCAGCCTCAGACAAAGTCTTATAAAAGTTATTCGAGCCAATCTGAAAACAATTGCCAGGAAGCAAAATCTCAAGGGATTGAGAAAATGCCTTGAAGAATGGCAGTTTTATAGCTTATTTTATACTACAGGCCTGGTGCACAAATTTGTGCACCAGTGGGGTCCCTCAACCTGGCCTGCGTGATGAGGCCGAAACCAGCTCTCTGACATCCCCTAAGGGGTCCTGGATTGCGAGAGGGTGCAGGCCAGGCTGAGGGACCCCACTGGTGCACAATTGGGGTGGGGAGAGATGCGGGAGGTTGGCCAGCCAGGGAGGGACTGCAGGAAGGCTCCAGGGCATGTCCGGCCTGATTCGCTCAGATGTGATTGGCCGGACCGCAGCAGCAAGCTAAACTACCACTCGGACCAGAGCATCTGCCCCCTGGCAGTCAGTGCATATCATAGCGAGTGGTTGAGCAGCCTTAGCATATCATTAGCATATTACACTTTGATTGGTTGAAGGGCTGACCAGACAACCAGATACTTAGCATCTTAGGCTTTTATTATATAGGATATTAGAATCAAAGGAGCCAGGTAATGGTGATGGGGGGAGGTAGATGAAATTCATTGGTGGTAGATTAGGGAGGTGAGGGGATGCAAAATGGGGAAATATCTGAGATGAATAAAGAGTAACCTAAGAGGCACACACATTTGTGGGTACAGAGTAGTTAACATATCATAGAGGTGGTATGTGGGCAATAAGATAACAATGAGGGGTTCTATCCTCTCTGCTCTGGTGTTGTGGGTGCCCCTGGTGGGTCTGGAAAAAGGGATTACTCGACATTTCAAAGATATGTTAACTTAGATGCAAAAAAGACAATAGGCTCACTTAAGGTAAAGACTGGCCTTTGTCAAGGAAGCTACAGGCCTCAGACATTATTACTGTAGTGACTAGCTTTTATTCAGGAATTTTTATGTTCGGACCATCCTGTGTGGTTACTTTTGGTCTCTGAGTTTGTAAGCCCTGCATGCAGGCCTTCCCTGAGCTTATTAGGTTTAGTATGTGCCCCCTTTTTTGTCCATCGTATTTAAGTCAAATACTCTAACTTCTTGCCTCTAAAATGTTGGAATTGGCAAATAATGTTGTGATCTTAGTTGTTTTCTGTTGTACATTTGTTAGCATCATCATTAGTTAGGTATTAATAGTAGTAATAGGAGGAGAGCAAAGGGCAGCCAGACATTGGAAGCACGGCCACCTTGGCAGCCTCACCAGGCAGCTTAGAGTAAGGCAGCTCCCTTACTCCATCTATATGGCATAGCTATATTTTGTGTGTGTTTCATATTTAAAACCCTCAGGGTGGTCTCTGGTTGTGTTGTTAGGGTTGTTGGTTTTATCTTTTAGTTTCCTAAATGTATGAATAATATCAAATATTTAAAATCCTTCCTAAAGCTTCTTTTACATGTTGACACACTTTTGTGCAATCCTTTATGTAGTTTCAAATGAAAAGAAAATCAATAGGAATTAAGCAATGTAAGTTGACTTTTGAAGTTATTTTTTTTTAAAAATATATATTTTATTGATTTTTTACAGAGAGGAAGGGAGAGGGATAGAGAGCTAGAAACATCGATGAGAAAGAGAAACATCCATCAGCTGCCTCCTGCACACTCCCCATTGGGGATGTGCCCGCAACCAAGGTACATGCCCTTGACAGAATTGAACCTGGGACCCTTGAGTCCGCAGGCTGATGCTCTATCCACTGAGCCAAGCCGGTTAGGGCTGAAGTTATTTTTAAATTACAATCTAAGTGAAAGTTTTATGTTTCAGAAATAGCAAGTGTATTCTTTAAAAAGTGTCGGATGGAGCCCCAGTCTTATTCTTCGAGGAGGTGGTTGACGGAGAGATGGGATGAAATGAAATGGTCAGGCTGACTCAGTTAATATTTTCAAAGAGAATTGCTACAGAATCCTGACATGCCCATGTTTGAGAGGGCAGAGAAGTCTTTGAAGAGTGTGCCCATGTGAGCCTGTGTTGGCAGGACTGGTAATCATGGTAAAGAGATCATGTTTATCACCACAACTTCTTGCCACTGCTGCATCGTTTACCATCTCCCTGGGGGCTGGAAAAGCATGCAGTACTCAAGATTGTTAAATGAGTTAACTGAGATATATTTAAAAAAAACCCCTTTTTTTTGGTAGGTGGAAGGAAAGTAATTTAGAAAAAATTTATCAGGAATAAACTTGAAAGTTTCGTTTAGGTACTGTTACCAGACCCCAGTGTGTGAGTCCATTTGCCTGCGTGCATTGGTCAAAAGATGATGCCTGAGCAAGTTTACAGTGGAGGAAGGACCTTATTAGGATCGGGAGCATGTATTGAAGTAGTTGAGCACAGTAATCTGGAGTTAGGTGAGCTTGTGCTCTAAAAGACCTGGCTCCCGAATGGCCGGTAACTAACAGGTCATGTAGGGCAAAATCACAGGGCACCGTAGATTGGGGGTCGGGGCACACGTTAGGAGCCGATTGGTGGAAAGTGAGGTAAGGGTGGTACACAGTTTCTTCAGGTCTTGAGGACAGCTCTGGGATCAGCTTCCGTGCCCCTCTGTCTGGTTTGGTGGGGAGGTAGCTGAGGGGGTCCTTTCACCTTAGGTTAGGGCTCCGGAGCTGGCAGAGGCTCAGACCTTGGAACCATAAAACTAACTTTGGTCAGTTTTGTCTCAGGGGTTTGTGATTTTCAAGGGGAAAGACTAAGGTCTGTGAAATGTGCAGAGGGAAACAATGATTTTTAAAAGTAAGGCTAAATCATATCAAAATTATAAGTACCTGTGGTTTTAACACCAGGCCTCTGCCTGATTTATTTTATAAACCATTGAAATATTTCTGAGACAACTAGATCATCCTTATGGCCATTCTCTCGCCAGGGGTGGTGTCCTGGAGCTGTAACTGCTGGGATCAGGCAGAATTCCTGTCTTTATCGTCTCACCGGCCATTTCTCTGCAATCATAGATACTGATGTATAGCTGAGCGTCTTCTGAAGAAATGCTGTTGTCTCTTGCATGTTTGGGAATGAGGGTTATGGATGTATATAAGTTTGGGGATGCCTCATTTTTTCAGTCAGCTAGAAAGATTTCCTATTTTAACATAGTGTCTACATTGCAAATAAAGACTGTTTCCCTTCACTTTGTATAAGTTTCCAGGTAATCAGGTATGCTGTTCCTTCAAATTAGTAGCTTCTAAAAGACCTAATGATAAAACTAACTTTGGTTAGTATTACTGAGTTCTCTGTGCTAAATCAGTTATATATATATATTGACATTCATG